ATGAGAAGGGTTTTAGGACCTCTGGCTAGGAGCTAGGGATGAAAACCAAAACATACATTTCCTATAATCTGTGTTATAGGAAAATACAATCACAATTGTATTTTCTGTTCACCCTCTGAGTAAGTGTAGGATCCATAATGATACACTTTCTCATTCTTGAAACTGGCAATTTGTGTTTTCTCTCCTTCTGTCTTCTTCTCCTTCTCTTTCTCCTCCCCCAACTTTTCCCTCCTCCTTCATCTCCTTCATTCCTCCTCCTTCTCTCTCTGGTTAGCCTGTCTAGAGATTTATGTTTTTTGTTTGTTTGTTCAATTTTTCTCAAAGAAACTGCTTTGATTTCACTGATAGATTTTTTTTGTTTGTTTTTCTATGGGTTCTATTTCACTGTTATCTGTTCTGTCTTTATAATTTCCTTCTTTATGCCTGACTTGGGCTTATTTTAGTCTTTTTCTACGTTTTAAGGTTGAAAGTTAGGTAATAGACTTGAGACCCCTTCTCTTTTCAAGACCCTTTCTCTTTTCAAATATAGGGATTTGACGATATAAATTAACATGCAAGTATTGCTTTAACCTACAGATATGGAGGGGCTGAGTTTTTGTTGATGTTCAATTCCAAATAATTTATTTTCCATCACTTGGATTGTTTGAAATGTATTATTAGCTTCCAAATATTTGAGTGTTTTTCAGATATCTTTATGTAATTATTTCTAATCCAATTTCATTGTGATCAGAGAACATTTCTTTCATGATATGAATAACGTTATATTTATTGAATGTTATATGGTAGCTTAGGATATGCTCTATTTTGGTAAATGTTCTACGTGCACTTGAAAAAATGTGCTACTAAGGAATATGTTTGTAAAGCTTCTTCACTCTGACTCTATAGCCTTCCTTTTACATGAGTATGATTTCTTCTTTTTAATTATTTTTCTTCTCCTGATTATAACAAATGATACCCAGTGGTGGCCTGCAGAGTAAACTCCGGTTTCTGGAATCTGTGAATGTATTAGATATTTTTTTAAAAAGTGGGTATATTCATTCTTAATGCTTAAGAAATGATCACTGAATCATGTTCGTAAACTAAACACAGACATTATTTGCACACACATGCACCCACACAAGAAAGAGTGTCATTAGGAAACCCGAAATTATGAGGGATTCTTGAAAGACAGGACAAGCAGAGGCTACCAGATTGGTTAATGCAGAGAATTTTAAACAGCTACAATAGAAAACCTGATCACATTCAGAGAAAGTCGGAGAGTAAATAAAATTGCAGCACTGTAGAGGGTCCTTGGTCAACTGTGAGATTAAAGAGTTACTGTGTGAACAGCAAGCCTGCTTCACCCTGCCCTGCTCTAACCCTCCCCCAGCCCTACTTACACAGGGCAGTATGCAACTGTGGCATGTGACCCTTTTCATCTCCCCAAACTACACTCCAAAGACAGTGAATGAGCTTAAGGCGATTACAGACCTGCAGAGAAGGGGAACAATAGGACACATCTACCTAGAAGTAAAAAGTATTAGTCTCCCAATGTCAGAAATATATTTATTTTGGCCACAGGGAGTGTCCCTTTCCTACCTATCAGCCATGCCATGTATCCTCAAAGGAAAACCCACTGAGTAATTCAGCACACTCCAGCCTTCCATTACAGCAGAAGCCCTGTGGTGAAATGGACACCACAACTCTAGATCAGATCTGTGCTAATTACCTCAGTCAATCAAGGAAGTCCTTTATGCCTAACTATAAAGGAACACAGGTTTGCCAAATGTATGAGGAAGATAAAAGTAAAAAGGACAATGAATGCACAGAACTATTTCCGGGCAGGGGAACCCAGATATAACACGGGAAACAGAAGAGAATTTTGCCAAAAATTCAAATTCACATTCTCAGAACTATAAGGGAAGAAAATGGATTTATAAAATAAAAATGTCTACTATACAAGGAATTAGAGGACAGATAAAGTCCTTGAAACATAGACATATTCTTGCGAAATTGGAAACATTAAATGTCAAGAGGTCAGAACAGCTTCTCCCCGCCTCACCCAGGCTGTGATGGAACCTGGAACATGCTGCTGGTGCACTGCCCACTTAGACCCCCCTGACACCCCCCCTTTACCACTCCCCCCCACCCCAGGGATCCTCCTTGTGCCCTCTCCGGAACACTCGCGAGAACTGGTCACTTTATCCGTCTTCAAGTCCCAGCTTCCATTTTCCGGTCCCATCTCAGAGCCCACCAGCAGTCTCTTGCTGCAGACAGCTGGAGCACCACCCCTCTGTGGCACCGCTGACTCACCCAGGGACGCGCCAAGGCTAACCTGCAACTCCAGCTCCTGCTTCCAGGACATCTTGGCTTTGGTGCCCCGCCCCGCACCCACGCCACTGAACATGGCGGCCGCATTCGCGCCCTGGCATGTGCGTCATAACTACCACCCCGAGTGTGAGGCCGCCATCAACAACCAGGTCAACTTGGAGCTGCACGCCTCCTACGTGTACATGTCCATGGCCTTCTACTTTGACCGTGAAGACGTGGCCTTGAAGCACTTCAGCCTGTTCTTCCTTCGGCAGTCGAACAAGGAGAGGGAGCACGCGGAGAAGCTGTTGTGGCTGCAGAGCCAGCGTGGTGGCAACCCCCGCCTGAGCAGCATCCCCAGGCCTGAGGAAGAGAACTGGGAGAATGGCCTGAGGGTCATGGAGTGTGCCTTGCACCTGGCGAAGAGAGTGAACCAGAGCCTGTTGAATCTGCACCAGCTGGCCACCGAGAAGAAGGACGGCCACGTCTGCAACTTCCTGAAGCGTCACTACCTGCATGAACAAGTGATGTTCATCAAAGAGTTGGGGGACCACATCACCAACCTGCGCAAGCTGGGGGCCCCGGAAGATAGCCTGGCAGAGTACCTCTTTGACAAGCTCACTCTGGGCGGCAGCAAGAACTGAGCCGGGACTGCCTTCCCGCCAGCCAGCTGCGGGGTGACTTTTCCTGGTCACCGTGCTGAGCTTGCTTGTTGCCATGCTGCCCTACAAAAGGTTCAGTTAAGTTTTTATGTTTGAATTTTATCATTACTTCCAAAAGTTATTGGTTGCTGAATAAGTAAAAGCATTCCATTGATTTGTGTGTGCAAAATCCTCGCCATTTAAGTTTTATAACAGGCATGCAGGATAACTTCAGTCACTCATGTCCCATCCCGTGCAGCTCGGGATCTTCAGGGATAGAGGGAGGAGGTGTTCCCTGGACCTTGGATGGATGTAGGGAGTATTCACTGAACCGTGGAGGAAGGTGGTGCTATCCTCTGGGACACTGGATGGAGGGAGGGGTGTTCCCTGGGCCCTGAATGGAGGGACGAGGTATTCCCTTGGCTTTCAATGGAGGGAGGTGCATTCTGTGACCCGGGTTGAGGGCGGACTACTGCCTGGACCCTGGTGGTAGCAAGTAGATAGTGAGGAAGTTCCCTGGACCCTGGATGGAAGGAGGGTGTATTTACAGGAAGGTTGATTAAGGAGGGGGGGTATCCCTGAACCCTAGAGGAGGGTGGGACTATTCTGTGGGACACTGCATGGAGAGAGGGAGTATCCCTGGGAACCTGGAAGGAGGGAGACAGTATTACCTGGCTGGATGATGGGAGAGGGTGTATTTTCTGAACCCTGGAGGAGGGTGAGGCTATTCTGTGGGACAGTGCAGGAAGTGACGGGGTGTATCCGTGTGACCTTCGATATAGGAAAGGGTCCTCCCTGAACCCTGGATGGAGGGAGGGGTTTTTCTTAGGGCTTGAATGAAGGCAGTAGGTACTCCCTGAACCCTGAATGGAGGGACGCATATTACCTGGGTGTTGGAGGGAGGGAAGGGCATTCTGTAGGACCCAGGATGGAACGTGCAGCTATTCCCTGCACCTTGCATAGAGGGCAGGGTTATTCCCTGAACCTCTGAGAAGGGTGGGGCTGTTTTGTGGGATCCTGGGTGGAGGGAGGCAGTATTTTCTGGACAGTGGAGAGATGGAGAGCGTATTTCCTGGGCCCTGAATGGAGGGAAGAGGTACTCCCAGGACCCTACACATAGAGGGAGGAAGTGGTCCCTGCACCCTGGATGGGGGGGAGGGTGTATACCCTGGACCTTGATGGAGGGAGAGGGTATTTCCTGGCCCTGGGGGAGGGTGGGGCTATTCTGTGAGACACTGGATGCAGGGAGGAGGTATACCCTGGGCCCTGGATGGTGAGAGGGGTATTCCCTGGAAGCTGGATGGAGGAAGGTTGTTTTCCTTGGACCCTGGACGAGGGTGGGGCTATTTGTGGCACAATGAACGGAGTGAGGGGATATACCAGGCACCGTGGAAGGAGGAATGGGTTATTCCCTGGACCTTTGATAGAGGGAGTGGGTATTCCCTGGGCCCTGTATGGAAGGTTGGACTGTTCTCTGAGCCTTGAAGGAGGGTAGGGGTGCTCCCTTAACCTTAGAGGAGGGTTGGGCTATTCTGAGGAACACTGGATGAAGGTGGGGGGTATTCACTGGGCTCTGGATGGAGGGATAGGCATTCCTTGGGACCCAGGGTGGAGTGGGGGTATACCATGGGCATTGGATGGAGAAAAGGGGTACTCCCTGAACCTTGGGAGTAGAGTGCTACATTTGTTGAAACCCTGTTTGGATTGGAGGAAGGCCATACTCCCTGGCACCTGAATGGAGGGAGGCAGTACTCCCTGCATCCTCTAAGGAGGGTGGGGATGTTTCCTGGACCCAGAATGGAGGGAGAAGGTATTCCCTGGTCCATGCAATGTACGGGGGTGTATTTCCTGGGACCTGGATGGACGGAGGAGGTATGCCTGGGACTCTAAATGGAGTGAAAGTGTATTCCCAGAGCCCTGGATGGAGTTAGGAGTTATTCCTTGAATCCTGCATGGGGGGGGGGGGCGACTTTCCTCGCAAGTCACCCCGTCTGCCACAGATGAGAGTAAACATGACAGAGATATGATGTGATCTGCTTGGGGAGGAGAAGTGGCTATTTTCTCAGAGGAAAAAGGCCGTGAGCAGTGGCCAGTTTCTCAGAGGAAAAAGGCGTTGAGCCCCCTCCTCCAGGGGCTTTTATTGGGTTGTAATACACAGGAATACAGGGCGGCAAGGTTCAAACAGTAGATAACATTTCAAAGAAATCTGAGGGCTTAGTATGCGTCAGAGTCTGTCAGGAACAGAGTTTTAGGGTTTCCTGCTCCGACCCTCATCATATGAATGAAAGCAGTCTTAGCAGAGCAGATTCCACAGGTCTATCAGCAAGTCTTTGTGATGCCAGATTTTTCCTCGGGACACACTCTAGCAAGGCAAGGAGCTGCGCCCTCCCCAACAGGAATTCAGGCTTAAGGGGACTAGAGCCAGGAAGCGCTCCCCCAGAAGACATGGGGACTCTGGCTTTGTCAAAGCAGGGGTGGGGGGGAGGGGCGAGAGTCCATTGCTCTTTGTTGCAGCCCCCCCGAATCCTTCCATGAAGGCCTCCCAAGTGATCATGTCTGGCCTAGGTTGCCCCTCCTCTGAGGGGTCTTACCAGTCCATGACTTCTGACCATGCTTTGGGGGCAGGGAGGAAACTTAGACAGCATTTGCCACCAGAGACAAGCCTTGTCTCCTGCGCCTGGCATTCCAAAGGTCCTCGCTCACTCATCCTTAAGCCACAGGGCGTAGAGAGTTACAATTCCTGAAACCAGGCAGAGTGGTCTACAACACCTGCAGGATGGTGGGCCTGTTCTGCAGTTCAGTGGATGGAGGGAAGTTGTTCGCTAGCTCCCTGGAATGGTTGGAGGGGGTGTTCCTGGGACCCTGGAATGAGGGAGTAGTGTATTCCCTGAACCGTGGTGGAGATGGGGGCCAGTCTGTGGGCCCCTGGATAAGGGACGGTGGTAGTCCTTGAACTCTGGATGGACGAAGGAATATTGCCTGGGCTCTGAATGGAGGGAGAGGTTATTCCCAGAACCTGGATGGAGAGAGCTGGCATTCTCTGGACACTGGATGGTGGGAGGGGTATTGCCTGAGCTTTGAATGGAGTGGGGGGGGGTATTCCCTGAGCCCTGTGTGGTGAGAAGGGAACTCCCTTGCTGTGGCTGGAGGGAGGATGCATTCCATGAACCCTGGAGGAGGGGACGGGGCATTCTGTGGGACCTAGGTTGGAGGAACAGGGTATTCCCTGGGCCCTGGATGGAGGGAGGGGCATTCTGTAGGACCCAGGTTGGATGGAGGGAGGCGGTATTTCTGGGCTCTGGATGGACAGAGAGGGTATTTCCTGGGCCCTGGATGGAGAAGCGTTTATTTCTTGGGCACTGAATGGAGAGAAGAGGTATTCGCTGGACCCTTGATGGAGGTAGCGGGCATTCCCTGTAGCCAGGATGGAGGGACGGGGTATTCCTTGGATCCTGGGTGGAGGGAGGTGGTCGTCCCTCAGCTCTGAATGGAGGGAGAGGGTATTTTCTGGACCCTGGATGGAGGGAGCAGTTATTCCTAGGGCACTGAATGGAAAGAGAAGGAATTCTGTGGACCCTGGATGGAGGGAGGAGCATTCCGTGGGACTCAGGATTGAAGGCATATTACCTGGACCTTGGATAGTGGAGAGATTGTTCCTGAATCCTGGAAGAAGCTGGCGCTATTCTGTGGGACACTGGAGAGTATGGAGGTATTCCCTGGATCCTGGATGGAGGGAGCGGGTATTCCCTGGGCTCTATGTGGAAGGAGGGGGTACTTCCTGGACCCTGGATGGAGGGAGTGGTTATTCCTTGGGCACTGAATGCAGAGAGGAGGTATTCCCTGGACCATACATAGAGGTGGGGCATATTCCTGGGCTCTGAATGGAGGGAGGGGGTATCCCTGCATGCTGGAAGGAATGAGGTGATATTCCTTGAACCCTCTAGGAGGATGGGGCTATCCTGGGGACACTGGGTGGAGGGAGGCAGTATACCTTGGGTCCTGAATGGAGAGAGATGATATTCCCTAGACCCTGGAGAGAGAGGGGGGTTTTCCTCGACCCTGGATGAAGAGATGGCAGATTCCCAGAACCTTGATGGAAGGAGGCTGTGTACCCTGGGGCATGAAAGGGAGGCGGAGTTTTCCCTGGACCCTGGACAGAGGTAGGGTGATTTCTTGAATCCTGGAGGAGGGTGGGGCTATTCTGTAGGACACTGTATGGAGGAAGAAATATCACTGGGATCCTGGAAAGAGGGAATGGTATTCCCTGGACCCTCAGTGGAGGGTGGGGGTATTCCCTGAACCCTCTATGGAGAAAATGAAAATCCCTGGACTGTGGATGGAGGGAAAGTGTATTCCCTGAACCTTGGAGGAGGGTGGACCATTCCCTGGGACCTAAATTGGAGGGAGTGAGTATTCCCTAGGTACTGGATGGAGGGAAGAGGTTTCCCTGGGCCCCAAATGGAGGGAGGAGGTATTCCTTGGACACTGGATGGGGGGGGGGAGGGAGTATAACCAGGACCCTGGGTAGAGGGTCTGGGTATTTATTGAACCCTGGGGGAGCTATCTTTGTGGGACCCTGGACAATGCTGAAGGTCAAATTTCTTATATTGAATATGAAGTAGCATAAATTTTCCTGCACGTTATCAGTGACTCAGTGCTTTGGGGAATGTACAGGGTGGGGGAGAGCTGAAGCTGGGAGGGCAGTTGAGAGATCTTGTAGCTGGTCCAGGTGAAACACACTGGGGGTTGAACTGTGGTGGTGACTAAGGAAATGAAGAGATGTGGGCAAATTCCACATGGACTGGATGAGCTGATAAGCTCTGCTTATGGGCCAGAGGTGAAGAGTGAGAAATGAGGAAAGTAACCTAAGTTCTGGTGCTTAGGATTGAATACCTGGGTTGATGGTAGCGCTGTTTATTAATTTGGGAATGTTTCTCCAGGGGGCGTGTCTGGGGTAGAAGGATGGGGCTGCCACATTATGTAAAACCTGAGAAGGCCATTGG